GATAGATAGATAGATAGATAGATAGATAGATAGATAGATAGATAGATTGATTTACAGAAATACTATTTTCTGCAGAAGCCAGAAGTCCTTCTGGTATGAATCCTTTGAGTCTTCCTAGCCTCTAATAATAACCATGTGTTGGCTTTTTTTTTTTAAGCTTGTAACTGCAGTCACTTCAGCCTCTGCCTTGTATCATATGGCATTTTTCTGTGTCTCTCTTATAAAAGTCATATTGTTCTGTCTTACCCTACTCCACTAGGGCATCTTTGCTAATTATATCAGCAATTGTCCTGTTTCCAAAGAGGGTCACATTTTGAGGTCATAGGACTTGAGTGACTCTTTTGCAGGGGACACAGTTCAACTTTGAACAAACAGAGAGCAAAATAAGAAAATTATATGCCATTTTAGAATGGGGATTGGCAAACAATGGTCTGCAGACCAAATCTGGCTTGCAGTGTGTTTTTGTAAAGAAAGAAAGTCTAAACATTTATCTGGTTCATTACAGAAATTGTATGTTATAACTGCATGTGTAAGTAAGTACATGTTTCTTACTTTCCAAAGTGCACACATGTGATGAGTGTGTCAGTTGCTCAGTTGCTTTCTTCACGGAATACTCCAGACTTGGGCTCTCTAAGCACTGCATTGGCTAAGTCTGTGCAGCCTGGGCTCTGGCTCCTTCCCACAAAGGCCTCTGTTTATGTTATAAAGCTGTAGGTGTAGAATTTTGTGAGATTATCCACCAACATTTTCACTAGCTATTTTTCTTGGTAATATAGAGACTTCACATGCCAACCCCCTCCCCGTTTATCATTTGAAAATTTAAAAATTAGATTAAAAATTTGATTCCTTGTTATTGGTTCATACCAAAGATATAACATGTAGAAAGCAGCAATATAGAATTCAATACCTTACTTAAAATTTAAGTTATTTCAAAAAAATAGCTGCCACTGCTCCTGCTGGAATTTAACATAGCACTGAGTATAGTTGAGCAGTTGAGGAGTCAGCAATTTTAGTGTCAGTAGACCAAAGGAACCGACCCTCTGCTAAGGACCTGTTATTGTTTCCTTCAACAAAATGCCCTGTGACATTACATAGACATCAAGAGGGTTGAATTAGTTGTAGGTGACCTTAATGTTTGCAGATATGTATTAAACCAGTGGTTCTCACCCTTCCCAATGCTACAACCCTTTAATACAGTTCCTGAGGTTGTGGTGGCCTTAACCATAAAATTATTTTCATGTTACTTCATAATTTTGCTTCTGTTATGAATTGTAATGTAAATATCTGTGTTTTCCGATAACCCCCAAAGCCGTCATAACCCACAGGTTGAGACCCTCTATTAAATATAACTCTAGGCACTAATGATTCCAAAAGCTTGAGGCAGGAAAATTGCTTGAATTTAGTAGTTAATGGCCAGCCAGGACAACATAGCAAAACCTTGTGTCAAAGGGAGGAGTAGGAAGAGACATAGTAATAAACCACTCCACTGGGTTATTGAATACTCTTGCCCAAGTATTTGGGATTATTTTATTCTGAAGTTCATCTCTCTAACATGTCTTGGTGCCAACTTGCAAATGTAGTACCAGTGAAGGGTTTAAAGAGCACATGTCCAGGTGGATCTAGTTCAGGAAGGACTAGGGGTGAATGTAACTAAAATACACTGTGTGCATGTATGAAGTTCTCAAAGACTGTAGTAAAACAGACATGTATAGCACTGTTATCAAAATCAGCTTTCTGAACAAGGCTCTTCCGTCTTCACAGGAGGACCCAATAGAAGGAACATGACATCTAGAGGCAGCAGACTTGTTTCAGATTCATGCCTTATCATTTCTTAATTTTATGTATTGGGTAAGTAATTTGTAAGTAATTTCTCTGAATTGTTTTGTTGTTGTTTTTGTTTTTGTAAAAGTCCAATTATTTTGTAAATAATCCCCACCATACGGATCTGCCTCCCAAGGGTACTGAAAGGCATGACTCGTGTGTAGGCAGTCTAACATAAAACAGCCCAGTGTCTGTTAGCAAGAACTGGGAAAGAGTGAAGGGTGAATAATTGTAAAATAAATCAGCATAGCTGAGGACAGTATCTTGCAGATGCATTCAGAATATAACACATTCTGTGAAAGATCACTCTGATCCCTACCCAGCTTTCCGGTGAACATGATTTGCTTTATTTCTGAGAGAAGGTTCTACAGTTAAAGTAGTCACCTTGTCATAGTAACAGTGACTGCAAACAGTTTATACTGATATCTTCCTTGATGACCACAATCCTTCTTCATTCTTCATTCTGCCCTTGGGTTAAATTTTTAAGAATGGAAATAAACATAAAGGTCGTAGTATAGGCAATAAAAAATATTTAAAGTGGCACAGCTATTAAGTATTAATCAGGTACAATTAGGCTGCTTTTTTCTCTCCGATTGAGAAAACCCGAGGACTGAAAGAACAAACAGCACTGCAGTTACCTCACGTTTGTTCTAAGTTTTCAAGCAAGCCATTCACCATCTGTGGGATGAGCATTACTTGAGGAAATTACTTGTGACACACCTTTCAGCAGACTACTGTTGGCTCACCATATCTGAGGAATAACCAATAGAGAAGAACCAATCCGTTCTGAAATAAACCTTTCTTGCATCTTCAGTTACTAGTCATGTTTTAGCTTTTTTAAAAGCTTCCTAGAAAGCCAAGTTCAAGGAAGTCACTGTATGCAATGTTTTTGCAATATATGCATATTCTGCAAGAGGCGTGGAATAAGAGGAACATTTAATTCACCTTTAATGCAAGTGTTTACTCTCAACAGAATCAAATGAAAAATGTAACAGAATCCTGCCCTTTTTAAAACAAAATAAGTCACAATTAAAGTCAGCTGTATAGAATGCAACATAGAATAACTTTTCTATTCTGATGTCTGACACTTTAGTAGATACTCCTTCCTCACAGCTCAGTGACAGTTTTTAAAATTAGGAAGTAATACTTTCTAGTCATTCCAGTGAAAGGCTTTTCCGTTTCCCCATGGTGTTGCTCAGTCACAAGCCCAGCTGCCCTAATTCCGTATTGCATGTGAGAGTTAACCATGCTGCACATACTTGTGCATTCCTCTTGCTAATTGCTATGGCTCAGTTTGTCTGGTTGCTTCTCATCAGCTTCTTGTCAGGTCGTGTTTTGTTCTTTCTTGTTGCTGGGGATTTAACCTATGCAGATTGCCTGAGCTGCGGAGCTGCCTTGGGCATCCATGAAACATTCCTATGTGTGTACCCTTTGGAAGACATTAGCACGTTTCTTTCAGTATATGTGCACTGTGTCTGTATAATGTTTAATTTGCAAGAGTGCTGAGTGCCCCACCCTTACTGATGTTTCAAGGACGTTGAAATACAGTTTCACCTAGGAAGGCTTGCTCGTGGTTTTAAAAGATAACCGGAATGTCCAGAGTAAAAAGCAGGCATGCTTCCTGCTCACTCTAAGGCGTGGGTTCCTAAGTCTGACCTTTGTGTCCTGTAAGATAACTTGCTACTTTGTTGCTGCTGCTCAGAGTCCTGTCTTTTATTTCTAACTCAGAGGTCTCACAATGCTTTGCTTGTATTCATGAAACTGCTGCGTATCAGACAAACTGAGCCATAGCAATTAGCAGGAAGAACTTGTAAGTAGTGCAGAACTGCTAGATATCAGTAGTCCTAGTACTACTTAAAGACCAATCCCGGTTTGGTTTGGTTTGGTTTGGTTTGGTTTTTTTTTGATGTAAAAATCATATGTACAAGTAACTGTGAGATGGAGGACTTTAGACATTTATGCAGCTCTAACTTTAGTAAACATAGAAAAATATTCCTTTTCTGTATTCATATAGATATTTTATCACTTTCCAGAAAACAGCCACACAATAGAAACAAGCCTGTGTTTTAGCTTGTGTGGAAGAGAATGGGTTCTTACATTCTGTCTGTTACAGGAGCATCTCTGCAAGATGTCAGCACTAAGGATTTGGCTAATGCAAGCTTTGCTTCTTTTCCTCACCACTGAATCTATAGGTAAGGTTCATGAAATGTCCCTACTCTACCAATTAGATTTTCATATTTTAAATATCATATAATTATATGAATATATATTCTTTCTGGGGTCATTATTGAAAGAAATGTCTTCAGTACAAATATGCCTGATAATTTGTTTTATATCATTTGAGTTTCATCAATACTAAATGCTAATTAGCTATATTTCAATAATGTTAAAGTTGAGAGATGTGCAAAATGTTTTTGAGTAAAGGGATAGGAGAAAAATCTGTTAATTCATAGTCCTTTTCTTCTCCTCAATTACCCAAAACTCACCAAGCAGTGTGGTTGCTTACCAGAATGACGTAGTAGAATGGGGGCAGAGTGGTGACACTGACCTGATGGTGGCCTGAGACCTGCTGGTCTACAGTGCGGTGCATGAAGACATTAAGAAGTTATATTTAAAGTATGGGGCTTTCTCTACATGCATACCTGTTTGTACACCACACGCATGCCTGGTGGCTGGGGAGGCCAGGGCAGTGAGTGGAATCTCCTGGGACTGGAGGTACACATTGTGAGTGGCTGTGTGGGTGCTGGGAATTGAACTCCAGTCCTCTGTAAGATCAGCAAGTGTTCTTAATCCCTGAGCCATCTCTCCAGCCCTCAGGACACGGAACAGTTTGACATAGCCATGACAACCAAGCGTATGGTCAGTAGAGTCAGCAGGCAGAATAGAGATCTATGGCAAGTTGGAAGAAAACACCTGACCTCTGTCACAGTTTGCAAAGCAGCCCTTTAGGTTAGCTCTCTTCACACGAAGGGGTTCAGCTTCGCTTTGAACAGTTTCCAGTGACAGAAAGTTTTATGTTAAACTGAAGCCCAAGTAGGGTAAGTGAGACTCTAGAAACCCACTAGCAAGCATTTGCCAGAAAGCAGCCTTAAGCTGGAGCTCCAGAGGGAGAACCGTGCAAGGCGAGTCAAAGGCATTGGGCCCAGGTAAGTGGACGGGAGGAGAGGAGTGAGAGTAAGAAGTAGTAAGTAAGTTTGAACAAAGCATGCTCACCTGTACCTGTAGCCTAAGCACTTGGAAAACTGAGGCAGGAGGACTGCCAGTTCAAGGATTATATAGCAAGACCCTATATCATTATCAGACCAACATTGTTTGGTACCAAAACCAGACAATACGAGTATGCAAGCTATATCCTAATATCGTGAAGAACATAGATGCAGAAATGCTTGATAAAATGCTAGGAATGGCATTTAACAGCACATTAAAAAGATTAATCTGATTCAGTGTATTCATTGCAGAGCTGCAAGGGCTGTCCACCATATACAAATGAGTAAAGGAGACTGACAGCACTAGCAGACCGAAGGATGAAAGCTCTGTGGTCACCGTAGTCGATGCATTGATAAGTGTCATGTAAAACTTCATAACCGAAAATAATAACTTAGGGTTAGGAAGAACATTTCTGTCTAATAAAAGTTTTATACACACACACACATCTCAAGTCCAAAGTGAACGTGGTAAGTAGAGAGAAGCTGAAAGCATTTTCTCTAAGATCTTGTATAAGCTAGAGGTGTTATTTTCACTGCATTCGTATCTAATAACCTCTACTAAATATGATACTTGAAGACCTAGCCGGAGCAGTCAATCACACAAAACAAGCAATATAAAAGGCATCTAGGTTAGAAAAGACGATATCAGATTGTCTCACTGTGGATTACATATTATTTATCAGAAGCCCCAGAGAGTCTACAAAATAACCAGAACTAATCAATGAATTCAGAAAAGTTGCTGAATACAGAATTAACATATATGGGACAGTGGCATTTTCATATGGTAACGGTAAAATATCTGAAAAAGCAATCTTATTTATAGTAGCTCCAAAAATAAAAGTAAATTTTGTCAGAGTTATAATATCTATAAAATATAAACCATGAAATTTAATAAAAGAATCATTCAATAATAAAATCATTGAAAAGGACACAAAACATGGAAAGACAAACCATATGCATGAATCAGAAGAAATCAGTATTGTTAAATTTTCTCTACTTTTCAAAGTAGTTACAGGATTAGGAAAAACTTCCTAAAATTCATATGGAACCATAGACACCAAATACCCAAAAGAATATTGAGCAAAATAAATAAAAATGGAAACATTATATTATGTAACTTTAAAATATATTGCAAAGTTACAATTCTTAAAGCAGCATGGTGTGCTCCACCCCTCACATGGCCAGCATGGGAGAACTGGCTCTGATAGTGTGAGTGCCTTGCCTGGGCAGCACAGTGGAGCTGGCCCTGGTGGCAGATGTGTGGGTGAGCCAACCCCCTCACCTACCAGGACAAGAGCACCAGACAGCTAGCTCCACCCCTTGCCAGCTACAGCACTCAAGAAATCTGGCTCTGCGCCTGTGAGGAATTCAACTCAGTAGAAAAATATAAGTAATGTTTAAAGGGTGGCGGACCTAGGTAGACATTTCTTAAGAGAAGACACATGAACAGATAGTAAGTCCATGGATGCATACTCAGCACTAGTCATCAGGGACATGCCAACCAGCATCATGGTGTGGAATGACCTGGTTCCTGTCTAAGTGACTGTTGGAAACATAAGTAAGTGGAACAAGAATGCATAGAAAAGGAAACCAACCTACCATTGATAGGGTTGTCTGTTAGCACAGCTACTATCAGAACCAACATAGGGTTGTCTGTTAGCACAGCTACTATCAAAACCTACATAGGGTTGTCTGTTAGCACAACTACTATCAAAACCAACACAAAGGCTCTTAAAGGAAAAGCATTTCCACTAGCAGATTGTAGCGGTCAGTCGTCTCACTGCTACAAAATACCTGACGAGCAACTTCAGGAAGGTAGGATTTGAGGCCGAGGAGCCTGGAGAAGGCATGGCTCAGTGGTTAAGAGCACTGACTGCTCTTCCAGAGATCTTGAGTTCAATTCCCAGCAACCACACAGTGGCTCACAACCATCTGTAATGGGATCCGATGCCCTCTTCTGGTGTGTCTGAAGACAGCTACAGTGTATTCATACACATAAAATAAATAAATAAGTCTTTAAAGAAAAAGTTGGTGCCGCTGGGTCACATCGCGCATGCTTTAGGAAACAGATGAGTGTTAGTGTCTCTTACCCACTCCAGCCCTTGCAGAGGTGCCACCTATGTTTAGAGGGGGTCTTCCTGCCTCAGTAGCCCAATCTAGCCCCCCTTGTGGGCATGCCTACAAGTTTACCTCCTAAGTGAGTCTGAATCCTGTCATATTGACAAATTGGCATAAGCCATTTACATATGATTCTGAGTTCTCACTATTGGGTAAATAATAGAAAAGAGGTTAAGTCAGTGTGTCAGAATGAGACCTGCATTCCCATTTTCATTGCAGTGCTATATACAGTAGCCAAGAAATATGTAAGTGGGTAATGAAATGAGTGTGTGTTCATAATACTATTCCACCTTAAAAATGGTGAGATCCTGTCATTTGCGACAATGTAAATACAACTGACCACATGTTAAATGAAATACGCCAGTCACTGAAAGACAAATATCATATAATCTCACTGGTGAAATCTAAAAAAAAAAAAAAAAAAAATTGATTTCATAAAAAGTTGAGAGTCGAAGTTCTCAGATCTTGGTGTCCTGACTAAGGGAGCCAGGAAAGGATACCCACTGGTACTCAGTTGTACCAAGATCTAAGAAATATATCTGGTGCTCTTATGCACAGCAAAGTAACTAAGTGATAATGTACTGTGTCTTTTCAAAAATAAATAAGTAAACAAAAGCAGTTGAAACTGCAACAGTATGTATGGGTATCTTCACGATATTCAAAGCAGACGAAGTTAGAACTGTCATCAGCAGTGGAATTCTTACAGTTCAATTGTATATTTGTTTGTTTTTCTTCCTATCTGATTCTTTTTCCCCTTCTTTAAATAGAAAGTTTTGTCCCATACATTGATGGATAAAATTATTACATTGCTAAAACTAGTCCAATTGTTTTCTCAGAAAATTGTCCCCCCTACACTTTGTTAAAGCCGACATTTTGTCCAGTTGTTCTGCTTTGGGTGACTGTGTTGCTGCTGTCTGAGTTTTGATATGTCCATCTCTCTGTTCTGTCATCCTAGCTTCCACTGGCTTCCAGGGCTGGAGAGCAAGGCAGCCCACCTGTTCTGTGGAATTTAGTTTAGGTCGTCTGAGCCAAGGGTTGGGTGGGTGATGGGCAGGGTTGAGTTGTGTTGGATGCAGTCTGTTTTCTGAGAGAAATCAGAATATTTGACCACGGGCTCAGTAATTTTTATATTTTGTAACATTATAACGTGTATTCAGACCACATTTTTTTCAGGCTTAAATTTTCTTTTTCTTCAGAGAGTTATTTTAGTGAATTTGTATAGCCTACACTGAGTGTTGCTGTCTAAATACCACTTTGTATGGAAATACTCTCTTTGGTTTTTTTTTTGCCTCGTTGCTGTCATAGTCCCAGGAATTGAGCCCATGGCAGCCCGTGTGCTAGGTGAGCTCAACACAGTCCGCTGTTCTTTTCCAGGTCAACTTGTGGAACCGTGCGGTTACATCTACCCTGAGTTTCCAGTTGTCCAGCGTGGCTCTAACTTCACTGCCATCTGTGTGCTAAAGGAGAAGTGTCTGGAGCAGTACTACGTGAATGCCAATTACATCGTGTGGAAGACAAACCATGTTGCTGTTCCCAAGGAGCAGGTCACTGTCATCAACAGAACCACGTCCAGTGTCACGTTCACAGACGTGACCCTCCAGAACGTCCAGCTCACCTGCAATATCCTGTCCTTTGGGCAGATCGAGCAGAATGTATATGGAACCACCATACTTTCAGGCTGTAAGATTTGTGGCTTTTGTTCAATTTTGTCAGACTCTTGAACTACATTTTTAATGGTTTCTGTTAGCCTTCCCAAGGACAGTCACTGGTTCAGTAGCTTTTGGATGCACTTATTTTATTAAAAAAAAAATTAGAAGCAATTAGTACATTTCCACTCTCTTATTCAAATCCAAAAGAGCGACACAGGTGTCATTTCTTTGTTAAAAGACAAACACTTATCAAATTCATGAAAACTGGTTTGACCAGAGACTCTCTGTGCCCCCAAGAGTATTACTGATCTGCAGTTTGTTTCTGTTGTTAGAACTTGTGTCTTCTCATTACTGAGAAAAGGCTTAAGTTTAACCGGTTCCTGAAAGAAGAAGAAAATGAAGAAATACTAAAAAGACGTCACGGATTTGAAGCGAGCAAGGAAGCATATATGGGAGGGCTTGGCAGGGAAAAAGGGAAGGAGAAATTATTTAATTATAATATTAAAAAAATTACTCCTAAAAAAGAGTGGAGCCAGTGATCCAGACCTCTCCCAGTCCTTCAGAAAGCAGTAAGGACACACATTCACACCCAGGTATGGCGGTGAGTGCCAGTCATCCCAGCATCTGGGATGCAGAACAGAAGGTCCAGAGTTCGAGGCCAGCTAGGCTACGTAGGAGAACCCCATTTCGAAATACAAAAGTAAAAGTATATGTGAATCATTTTTGTTCTGACAACTACCTTTTAATACTAGTTACTATTAACTTTTGAACACTTAATGGAGACATTCTGGTAATTTATGTGGTTATAAATAAAAGTGTATTTTTATATATAAAGCTAAAATGAAAGCAATTAATTAAAGACAGTTACACTAGAAAATATAATGACCTAAAAAGTATTTAAGAGTTGGAAGAAAATTACCATCTGTTTCTCACTGTTGCCCATATTTTTACCTTGGATTCGTTTCTCTAATTGAGGTAGGTCTCAGGTATTATATGAATTAGATAATACTTGTCTATGTAAGGTATTTTTTATTTAACTTAAATGTTTGTTTCCTTACAGTTCCTCCAGATATACCTACAAATTTGAGTTGCATTGTGAATGAGGGGAAGAACATGCAGTGTCACTGGGACCCAGGAAGGGAGACATATCTAGAAACAAACTACACTTTGAAATCAGAGTGGTAAGTTACTGCAGATATGCCCTCTGCTGCATTATCACACATGGTGGCTGGGACTTACATTGGGTCAGTAGCAATATTGGGTGACTATTTTGGGACGTCTCACATGCTCTGACAGAGTTATGTGCTCTTCATGGGCACTCAGCAGTGTCAGCAGTGAGCAGTGTGCACACTCTGCCCCATGCTGCCTTCAAGAGGAGCCAGCCACGGAATAGACATTGCAGTACCAAGGTCTAAATGACGATTTCCAAACACAACCACATGCTATTTGCCTTAGTCAGTGTTCTCTTACTGTGAAGAGATACCGTGACCATGGCAACTCATAGAAAGGGGAACATTTAATCAGGGCTGGTTTACATTCAGAGATTTAGTCCACTATTGGCGTGGGGGTGGGGGCGGAGCATTGCAGCACACAGGCAGACATGGTGCTGGAGGAACTGAGAGTTCCTGGATCAGCAGGCAGCAGGAAGAAAGAGAAGGACACTAGGCCTGGTTTGAGCATTTGAAACCCCAGACCTTCCTCCAGTGACACACTTCCTCCAGCAAAACCACACCTACCCCAACAAAGACACACCTCCTAGTAGTGCCACTCCCTAGTGACCAAGCATTCAAATACATGAGCCTATGGGGGCCATTCCTATTTAAACCACCACACTATTGTTATACTCCAACAATTTGAAATATTTTAATATCAAACTTTCAACTAGCATTAATTTCCTCATTTCTCTCATAAAATGCTTTCTTACAAAAATGGTTTTAAATTGAAATTAAAAAAAATTTAAAACCGTCTCTACCTTTTAAATTGATAAATTCTTCTCTCTCTTAAGTGATAGATTCTACTTGCTGCTGTTTCCTTTCCATGCAATTCAGTTACTTCTTGGATATTATACAACATTCTTTCATTCCTTTATTTTCTAAAAATTGTTAGGTTTATATATTTGCTCAAATTTGGGTTGGATTTCTTTTTCTAAATTTTTACTCTCAGGGATGGCATGTTCCCCCACTAACATTGTTATCCTCTTTTTTCCCCCTCTGATTAAGTAGTGGGTTGGGGAGAAGGGGAGATGGTTGTCAATAGAATAATCACTGCACAAGCACGGGGCTCTTAGCTCAGATCTCTAAAACCCACACATCAGATGACGTGCACTGTTCTGTGATCCCAGCTCCAAGGAGAGAGAGATACACAGACAGGCTGCAGCTTACTGGCCGGTAGCCTGGGACACTGAGCTTCAGAGTCAGAGTGACCCTGTCTTAGTAAGTGAACTGCTGGCCTGCTCACGCACACACACTGCACACTGGTCTCTAGTGTTGCCAGCCCTATCCATTCTTGGAAATGGATTCTTTTTTTTTTTTTCTTTTTTGGTTTTTCGAGACAGGGTTTCTCTGTGCAGCCCTGGCTGTCCTGGAACTCACTCTGTAGACCAGGCTGGCCTCAAACTCAGAAATCCGCCTGCCTCTGCCTCCCAAGTGCTGGGATTAAAGGCGTGTGCCACCACTGCCCGGCTGGAAATGGATTTTTTTTTCCTTGATGCACACAAAGCTAAAAGAATAGTGCCTCCTCTACATGCCTGCCACCGAGATTCTACAATTCATTTTATGAGATTTGCTCTATCACACCCATTGGCAGTCTCCTCTCTGGCAGTCAGTTCATCCAGTTCTTCAGTGAATTTCAAAGTGAGTTGTAGACAGTAGGAATATTTATAATTTGACACTTCAGTGTTTCCATGGTTAGCATCAGTATTTAAGTGAACTATACTTTGTTTATAGTGAGAGCACGGATCTAAAGTGTCCATGTCACCCTGGAGTTTTGACAAGGGCACACACCTGTACAACTCACATGTTCCCTGAAGTTTCTCCTCAGTTCATCCTGGTCCCCATCCCTGTGAGACCCTAGTTTGTACATATGCAGTGCTGTAGATGATCACTGTTTCTAGGATAGTAGCACCCATAGAGTTGCAGTGGGTGAATGCAAACTGGAAACTCCATGTAAATGTCTGCAGAAGTTTATTATAGGGCGGGTCATGTTGAGGTTGGTCTTTTGCTATGTATAGTAGTGCTAAATATTGGCCCCCAAGGTCTGGTTGCTCCCAAGAATGAGAGACTCTGCACATACAATGTGACCTTGCTCCTTAGTTTAAAACGATTGGTTAGATAAAAGATGATGACAGCCAGTGGCTGGGCAGAAGAGACACAGGGAGGGTTTGGTGTTCCTGGATTCGGGGTCTACGGTGAACCAGGAGGAGAACCAAGAGGAGAGGGAAAGGAAAGAGAGAGAGGAGAAGATGTCGTGGGGTAAGAATCTTGAAATTATGGTCATGAGGGCTGGCCAGTTGGAGCTAAGAGCAGCCCACATGGGACATAGCCAGCCATATTGTGAGGAGCTTGTCAGGGAAGTAGACATACTGGCTGAGAGGGTAAATACCTGCCCAGCTCTAGTGCTGATTAAGGCTATTATAAACGTAAATGTTGTCTGTCTTTGTTATCTGGGGACTGAATGATCAAAGGCAGAATAGAAGTCCCTGACTGAGTTGAAATATTTCTACAGCAGGGTTCAGAATGCTTTCCAGAGGTTTACAGGGAAGACAGAAAGTCGTTTCCGTGGCAGGTAAGTTGGTAGAGAATGATTTACTGCCGTGAGGAAGAGTATGAGGCCACTGAGAAGTACTGATGAGTGAGGAATGGTCCATCTTACTGAGTTACCTACAGAAGATGAAGAGGAGGCTGAAGTAGAACCAGCAGCAAATGTGTAATAGAAACAACCGCACCGAACAGAATTTGAGAACTGAGGGAGTCTGCAGAGTTGTTGAATACACAGACACTGAAGGCCAAAAGGGTGGAGTATAGATAGACCTTGGAGAAATACAAGATCAAAGGCATGCCTAGTCCTTGGATACAAGAAAGACAACATAAAGGCATGCTTCTGATAACCACAGACTACAGCTTTCTAAGCAATCCCTTGGTGAGCTAAAGACAAGCAAATTGCTATTAAAGTGTTCTTCTGGAAGCTTGCAGCAAGACACTTTAAACAATAAGATCACTGACCATGGACATCATCTGCCAAGAATGTCATCATGGCTTGATTTAAGATCACCTGAAACAGATGATTTTTGTCTTAATCTGTGTTTGGAAACACATTGCTGGGAAGAGACACCATGACCAAGGCAACTCTCATAAAAGAGAACATTAATTGGGGCTGGCTTACACTATCAGCAGTGAGTCCATTATCATCATGGCAGGGAGCATGGTGGCAGGCAGCAGACAGGCAGGCAGACTTGGTGCTAGAGAAGTAGCTGAGAGTTCGACATCTGGATCCACCTGGGCCTGGCTTGGAGTTTGAAAGCTCAAAGTTTACTCCCAGGGACACTTTGCTCTGACAACACCACACCTACTCCAACAAGGCCACAGACCTAATTCTTCTTAGGTAGCAGCACTCACTGATGGCTAAAGCATTCAATATATGATCCTGTGGGGCATTCTGTCTCAGGGTTTCAGTTGCTTTAAAGAGACACTGTGAACAGACACCATGACCAAGGCGACTCTTCTAAAGGACAACATTTAATTGGGACTGGCTTACAGTTTCAGAGGGTTGGTCCAATTATCATGGCGGGAAGCATGGGAGCATCCAGGCAGGCATGGTGCTGGAGTAGCTGAGAGTTCTGCATCTTGTTCTGAAGGCAAACAAGAGAAGACTGGCATCCTCAGGCAGCTAGGAGGAAGTTCTTTAAGCCTATCCCCACACCTACTCCAAGAGTGCTACTCCTACTCTGACAAGGCCACACCTCCCAGTATTGCCACTCCTTGGACCAAGCATATTCAAACCACCACAGCTCTCTTTCTGGATTATTGTCAGGTCAAGTTAGTAGTGTCCCACTGTTGTCTCACAGGACTGACATCATTCACTTCAATTCACATCCTCTTATACCATGACAAGAAAAGTGAGTATTTAGGGAGAGATTGCATTCACTTACCTGTTATGTTAGAATCGTTCATCTGCCATGCTTAATTCAGAGATTAAATACCATCGTAGTGAAGCACATGTAGGAAAAATCATAGGATACCTGGGGTTTGGTGTTTCCCAGTGTTTCACTCATGTGCAGGGGATCCTGAAACATGTGGTTATGGGTGAGTTAAGGCTGCTATTCTGAGACCACAAGGAAACAGATCATTTTTAGGGAAAAATCATTATGGACATGGCATAAAATTCTAAAATGAAATTTTCTCAGATTAAAATGTAGAAATAATATTATAGGTATAGATCGTTTACGGTTGTTAAGATATGTGATCTGTCTTTGGTTAGCAACACTTCGTTGTAAATGTTCGTGTACCGTGTACCGTGCACCGTGCACCAGTCTGGGTCATATCCAACTCTTTTCCAGTAACTTTCTCCACCATTGTATTTTTAAATCTATTTGTAATGGCTGGTTCTTCTAATTTTATACTTAGGGCAACGGAGAAGTTTCCTGATTGTCAAACACAACGAGGCACCTCATGCGTGGTCAGCTACACTCCCATCTATTTTGTCAACATCGAAGTCTGGGTGGAAGCAGAGAACGCCCTTGGAAAGGTCTCCTCGGAGTCCATCAATTTCGACCCTGTGGATAAAGGTATTTAGGAGCCAGAATTTGAAACTTTATCAAACTATAAATTATTGTCAATTTTTGTAATGGTTTATAAATTATTTTTCAGATTTGATTAATGTAGACATGTTTATTAGTACAATGACCTTTTTATAAAGTCCTTTATAATATTATTAGATAGAATGTGGAAACAGAAAAGTAGATGTAGCTTAGCCATACTCCTGGTTGTTTTCAGTTTGCTTTTGGAATATTTTATCATTGCTGTTTTGTTTTGTTTTGTTTTGTTTTGTTTTGCAGACTAGGTCTCATGTAGCCCAGGCTGGCTTTAAATTGGCCTTGTGTCTAAGGCTAACTTTGAACTCCTGATCCTCCTGCCTTCCCCACTTAGAGTGGTACCTTTGCTATTCAGCCAGTTTTCCAGCTCTCTTAGAATGTTAGCATTTCATTGTTCATCCAGTGTGCATCCACACACCGCTGCAGTCACAATGACTTCCTTGTTTTATTTTTATTTTCTTTTTAAAATGTAACGTTATAAAATTTTAGTATTTTTAAATATCAGCATCTGAAAATTAGCAAATATACTGATCAGACTAGGAAAGTTTCCTCAGACTCTTTCTATTACAAAGCAGAGCAGAGAGACTTCATTTGGTAAAAACAATCTTACAAAGCACATCATTGTATTTTTGACTCGTGGTATATGAAATGATAAAAGTAAAACATGACTAACTTTAGGACTTATTTTATTCTTCAGTGAAACCCAGCCCACCACATAATTTATCAGTGACCAACTCAGAAGAATTATCCAGTATATTAAAGCTAACATGGGTCAGTTCAGGTTTGGGCGGTATTTTAAGGCTGAAGTCTGACATCCAATATAGGACCAAAGATGCCTCAACTTGGATTCAGGTAAATTAAAAATTGCTGTTCATTCTAATAGTGTTGTTGCTTTTGTTTGTTTGCTTGCCTGCTTTGTTTGTTTTGAACACTAGTATGATGACTCGTCTGTTTTCTCAATGTCTTAATGTGAAATATTTCATTTGGCAGACAGACATGCAGATAGAAAAGCAGTAGCCTCTAAGGAAATAAAACAGGGTCATAGGAAGGGCATGCAGGAAAGACATGCAGGTGGATAAGGGGATTTTAAGCATGAAATAGAGCAGGGCTTGGCACACATAGTTCAGACAGCTTTGTTGCAGAAGGTTAAAACTAGCTACCTGCTTTTAGAAATGGAATTTTGCTGGAACATGTTTGTTATCTTTATTTGGGGGCTGGAGTAACAGATTTTTGGCCCCCAGCTCAAGATCCTTACTCTCTAGCCCTTGATAGAGGGTTTGCCAACTCTTGAAGTCCAGAAAGTTTTAGTGGGGATTGCAAGCCTGGAAGGGGAGGTGGCAGGTCCATGCTCTCAACAGAGGAGTACTTGTAGCTGTCACGGGGCATTCCCGAGTTGACTGCCTGTGAGATTTTGTGCTGTGATTCCATTTATAACTAATAGTCCACTTTTGTTTTTATTGACTGATGGGTCCACTCATTTATTTTACTACCATGGTTGCAGTTATGAACATATAAAGATATTAACCCATACATAACCTTTGTGCTCCTTTATGATTCTCCACTTATTTTACTGGCTCATAATACAATCACAAAAAGCAAAACAAAATTGGCTTCATGACTCAGCGTATACAGAGAGGATGTATATTTAAAGTTCTTCAAAGTATATTTTAATCTCATAGAATCTTAATAGTACAAAAATCCCACCAAATTTAACATCTGTTTTTGTCCCCAGTATTGAAATGTCAGAGTGGCAGAAAGAAGTAGTTATTTGTGTGCATATGATCTCCTCCCCACCCTCAGTTAAAGGACAAGTTCATCTACTAGGCTAGCTTCTGCTTTGCTTTCAACATTTATTATTTATTTATTCTGTGCATACACACCACAGCATCTATGTAGAAGTCACACAACTTACAGAAGGCAGTTTTCTCTTTCCACTGTGTAGGTTCCAAGAATCTAGCTCAGGTGTCAGGCTTAGTAACAGGCACCTTTACTTCCTGATCCAGGGTGCCAGTCCTAGATTTATTTTCTTAGTGGGGTTGGGTAGCTTCTTGTTCCCTGATAAATGTACACCCCTTCCTTCTGCACACCATTGTCATGCTGACCTGTCTGATCTCACTGTGGACTCCCATTCCGTCTTGTTTCCCATGAGCTACTGGACAGAAGGAGCTTGATGGGAAAGAGGAGGAATAGAATTAAGAACAACACGTATATTTTCTTCTGTGTAGTAAGGTCGTGGCTCTCAATGCTGCCCTCTCAACACTGCCCTCCTGGAGTCTTTTTTCAGGCTCTTTTTCCCTTTGGACATAGAGTTAGCTGGTATAGTACAGTTCCTCATGCACTAAGCATCCAACATTTATTCTTGCCTGTATCTTTTCACTAAGATGCCTTGAAGTGTTTTGTTGCTGTTTGTGTGCTTTTGTTTGTTTATATGTTTGTGTTTAGCTGTTGGATTGATCTGGTTCTTTGAGACAGGCTCTCACTTCAGACAGTGCAGCCTGGCTTAGAACTTGCTACTTGCTCTGTCTTCAGTAGTTCAGTCCTCCTGCCTGGTACTACAAGCACATATCTCTTTCACGTTGAGAATCCAGAGTATTGCAGGTCTCCTAGAAGAAGGAACGGATAAGTGGGTGGAGCCTGTAGATTGTCATATTGTTACCTCCATGTCTTTTTCTCCAGTGGCTGAATTTATTAATCTTGCATTAAACTGATTTCTAAAACTGTACTCACTTTAGGAACCTTCTCTATTGGAGGTATTGACGATGTCGCTCAATTTGCTTTATTCCCAGGTCCCTCTTGAAGATACAGTGTCTCCCCGAACTTCGTTCACAGTGCAGGACCTTAAGCCTTTCACAGAATATGTGTTTAGGATCCGGTCCATTAAGGAGAATGGGCGAGGCTACTGGAGTGACTGGAGTGAGGAGGCAAGTGGAACCACGTACGAGGACAGTAAGTAAACACTAAACGTGAGGGGGACAGTGGAAGGACGCCTGCGAATCGTGTTGCCCAACTTAAAGATACAGTCCTCACTGCTGTACTTGTGATTATTTTAGTCAAGCTGTACTGTTGTGTTATTTCATTTTTAAGGACACCATAAAATAATTTAACATGTATTATTGATAGTATATGTGTATTTGATACCTAATTAGGTTATATTATATTACTATGGAAAGGTATTTTAAATGTCATTTAAAAACCATTCACTTAGCTTTGTTCAAGGAAGGTGGTCCCAAGATGCCCCTAACTAGAGAATCGTATCCTAACTCACTAAAACCCCACTGTCAGAGCTGGCTGTGGTGGTGCATGCCTTTAATCCCAGCACTGGGAAGGCAGAGGCCGGAGGAGCTCTGTGTGTTTGAGTTCCAACCGAGCCAGGGCTTCAGAGTGAGACCCTGTCTCAAAACTAAAAGAAAGCACTGATAGAGCAGCCCTGGGGAAGGGGCTGATTTGGGATTTCGGTTGGTTTGCTCTAAGCCCTTTTTCATCATTGATTAAATTATAATTACACATACCCTGCAGAATATAAAAGTTCAAAACCGGTGTGGGGTCTAAAGAAGGGTCTCTGGGTCTGAAGAGGTGACTCTGAAAGAGCTTTTGCTCCTCAGAGGCCTGGAGTTCTCCACAGGATCTGGCGCTCTCTTCTGGCCTCCATGGGTACTGCATACATACAGTTCATAGACATATACAGGTAAAACACACACATAAAAGTGAATATATCCAGAAAAGTTAGACCCTCCTCCCAAAGCTGCTAGCATTACTGATTTCCTGTGTACCACTCCTGTGTACTGATCTCCTGTGTCTCAATCCTGCTGGAGACACTTCTCTTTGGACCTTTTCCTACCACAGTCTCATAGCAGCAGTCTTAGCTTACAAAGTCCATGCCTTCAACCATCTTGCTAGAGGTTTAGGTTACATGAACTAAAAATATCAACGGCAACAATGTCCCTCCTCTAAGGCTTTTCTCACTCTCATGAACACTGTAGAAAGCAGTCTTACTATGGCCAGTTTGAGAATGCTCAATCCAATAACTAGGCTCCTTTTGCTCAATGAGGGATAGTTTGTTTTTGTGGGGGGAGGGAAAGGATTGAGGAATTTGTACTTTGTAACACAGGCTGGCCTTAGACTCTCAGCAGTCCTCCTGTCTCAGCATCCCAAGTGTTAGGATTGTACATGAGTTACCATGCCCAGGAACTTACAGGAATTTTGTTTTGTTGTTTGAAATGGGCTCTCCTGTAGCCCACGCTCAGACCCACTAAGTAGCCATGGCTGGTCATAATCTTCTACCCCCACATCTCCAGTGCTGAGATGGGCCCCATGCTTACCTCCCTCCTAGGAGAATGCTTTAATGTAGTTACAGTGCTTGCTCCTTAGCTTCCGTTCTGCTGTCCTTGTTGCAGTTACTCATAGCCTGAAATTAGTAAATGAAAAATTTCAGAAATAATCTATAAATTTTAAGTAACTTCATTATATTTTTATTATTATCCATTATCTAATATCATCCATTGTTGCTAGTTTGTTACTGTACTTAATTTACAAGTTAAACAGTAGCATGAGTAATGCTTGCAGGAAAAGCAATGCATATAAAACGTTCATTACTCTCCAGAGGTCCTGGTGTCCACATGGGGTCTTAGGACACATGCCACACAGATTGGAGGGGCTGCTGCCTCAGTGTGTGTGACTGGACCTAGTGCTCAGAACTGTCTTTTTATATGATGCCCATACAGCTAGAGGCCAGACATACACCAACACGTTTCTAACTTCATTTTTAGCAAAAAGTAATACAAATAATTCGGTTTCATTTTTTTAGTCACTGTTGGAAGAAAAACTTATTTTTAAGACTTTTTTTGTCTACTGTACTACATGAATGTATGCACACACGTGTGAGCACGTGTGCACAGACACACAGTGGTGCTTTTCTGTCTACTTGTAAAAATATATTTACATCCCTAAAGAATTTAAGTATAATCTATAGCCAAGCACCATGGCACAGGCCCATAGTCCCAACTGTTCAGGAGGCCAAGGCAGGAGAATCATTTGAGCCTAGAAGTTCTGTCCTACTGTGAGTAACATAGCAAGAGCCCATGTTTTAGGGTGTGTGTGTGTGTATGTGTGTGTGTGTGTGTGTGTGTATGTTTATAATTGGAGACCTCAGTACGTTGTTCTGCAGTGGGCCTGCTGTTGTAAAGAAGAATGCTATGTGACTCAAGGCAAGACCATTACTTAAGAATGTGACTGTATTGTTAAGATAAAAAACATTTTATTTTATGAAGTTTGTGTTTTGTTTAGGACCATCCAAACCACCAAGTTTCTGGTATAAGATAAATCCATCCCATACACAGGAATATAGATCTGCACGGCTCATATGGAAGGTAAAAAAAAAAAAAAATAGATAAAAAGATTTATGTTCGTATCTCATATAAATGTTCTTAAATGGTATTTTAAGTTTAACTGTCTAACACTAAAATTTTTATTCATCTTTGTTTCCTCCAGACATTTAATAATGTTACTGTATAAAAACACAAGGCCTTACATAGCTACTGAAGAAGCCAACCAAGTTTATGTACTCAGCTGATCCATCATTTTGGATTTAGCACAGTGCATAGGAAGGTAACCTCTGTAAGAACAAGACTGTATTCTAAACGTCTCTGAACTCACTAGGAAACTGAGAGGCTCAGAGAGAGTAGAATGTGGGCCGGTGAGGCCACACATCACACAGTAAACGCAGAGAGAAAAAGATGCTGGCAAACAAATGATAGAGGATAGACCAGCATCTCAGCTGTGCAGAACATCACAGAGACAGAGGTTAGACCAGCATCTCAGCTGTGCAGAACATCACAGAGACAGAGGCTAGACCAGCATCTCAGCTGTGCAGAACATCACAGAGACAGAGGCTAGACCACACTACAGGTCTGGTTCAGTTCATGGCTTTATTTTCCTATTTTATTTGTTTGTTTGTTTGTTTGTTTTTATTCTTTCTTAGTGAGTAGCACTAAATTCAAAGTGAGCTCAGGCTGAAGAGGCAACTCAGCTGTTATGAGCAGGGGCTGCTCTTCCAAGGTATCCAAGTTTGGTTCTTAGCACCCACCTGGTAGCCTGCAACTGTCTGTAGGTATCTAGCACTTTCTTCTGACCTCCAGGCATGCACACAATACACTAACAGACATGCAGGTAGAACATTAATATAAAAATAAATCTTTTTTTAAAATGAGTTTGCCTTTTTCGTCCAATTAAATATTTACAGGTTTGACATACTGGCAGAATTTGTGGACATGAAAAGTTGATTATTCAAGATTCATGAAATAATTTTTGGTAAATTTTTATTCTAGGCGTTACCTCTTTCTGATGCCAATGGGAAAATCTTGGATTATGAAGTGATTCTTACACAGTCAAAGTCAATCTCTCAAACGTACACAGTTAATAGTACAGAGCTGATAGTAAATCTCACCAATAACCGCTATGTAGCATCTCTGGCAGCAAGAAATTCGGTCGGCAAATCAGCTGCAACTGTCCTCACCATCCCCAGCTCCCACTTCAGAGGTTCGTAGTGGGGAGGCGGAGCCGTGCTCATGTGCTCACGGATGCCAGGGTTAAGTGTGGACAGCGTCTTGGCAAGCATGGTAGATAAGCCGCTCTCTGCTGTCAGGGACGGTCATGATTGCAATCCGGAGCTTCTTCCATCTACATGTACGAGCTACCTCAACCCTGTGCAGTTCATGTGAACTCTGCAGCTAGCTTACTAATTCATTTAAGTGCTTCCTGATACTTTGGGTTTTTTTGAAATACTGTTTCAAGGTTCTAGGAATTTTCTTTGCATGTGAAATATTATTTATCACTAGCTGTTAAGGACAAAGACCTAGTTATAAACTTAAATACATAAAACCTTTGGACATGCCTGTAAAATATTGAAATAATCAGATTTGTCAATGTTGACTGATTTTATCCTCATCCATTCTGTTTCTACAGCTTCTCACCCTGTGGTGGATCTTAAAGCTTTTCCAAAAGATAATCTGCTCTGGGTGGAGTGGATGCCGCCGTCTAAATCTGTGCACAAGTACATCATAGAGTGGTGTGTGTTGTCCGAGAACTCACCCTGTATCCCAGACTGGCAGCAAGAGGATGCCACTGTGAATCGGACCCACTTGAGAGGTACATCTCCCTAAGCCCATAGTAGATGGTGTTTGTCTGACCCCAGGAGACGGTGTCCTTTTCCATGCTTTTTGTCACTGTCTTCTGTTGTCTCGGTATTGTGAGCCACTGAAAAGACTCGCAGCCTCACTGTGACTAGATGTGTGACTTAGCAAGTTCCACTTCGACTCTTAGCCTCTCTGAACCACAGGCTCTCTGCATGGAGAGAAGGGCCAGTACTTTTCTAAAACACTAAAATATAAATAAAAACCCTTGTATTTCTTTATTAGCAAAAAGGACACTTACAGAACTGTACAGAGAATCTAGTCCATCCTTTATTACCAGTGTTCTGTTTGTTACCTGTGCTCAATTCAGTTAACTCTCTCATCATCCAGATGTAAATTGGTTCCCTACTTTAACTTCCTAGGGCTGTTGAGTACAGGGAGCCCAGCCAGAACACGGGTTCCTTGTGCATTCCAGGTTTGAACACAGAGTGGTGATCTAGCTGCTATGTACTACTGCACGGTTGTAAAGTCATTTAATAGTGTTATAGAAGACAGAACTGCTCCGTGTATGTTCTTTCATTCATAAAGAAGGGTGACCATTAGCGTTTGACTATGGGTAGAGAACACGATCTAAGCAGAGGTGGCTCTTACTGAGCTGCTGTTAGTTAATCTTGATAAATTTAGATGTCTCGTTTATTAGCCTTATCAAATAAAAAGCATAGGGCTGGGGAGGAGGCAGCCTAGGAGATTAAAGAGCACATGGTCAGCTCTTAGGGACAAAGGTATCAAGGCTCCGCACCCTGAAAGCACCATTATTACAGCAGAATTTAGAAATGGTTTACTTGTTTATCATAGAGATCAAGAAAAGGTAAAATTGCTCTTTTAGGAAGACAAAAGGTGCATATAATTCTATGAATGTTAGTGAAGGAAATAGAGATACGTGGTGAAGGTATAAACAGTGTAAGAATGACCTTGTTTGTTGGTACATAGGATACATATTTTATAAAAGGCCACTTTATTTCCTAAACCATACTTCAGTTGTCTAATAAAACTTCTTTGATAATTTGGAAGGATTAGAATTAAACAAAATACTGTATTTAAGATAATTTCTTTTAATATTGAGCGGGAAGCATCCTTAAATCTCGTTTTTTTCCAGCTGCTGTCCACAGCTGTGCATCAGTGCTCTGTTCTGGATCTCACTGTTGCATCTTGGCAGGTCCCAAAACTAGCTAGAATACTGGCTTAGGGTTTCCACTGCTGTGAGAGACACCATGACCAAGCATCTCTTAGAAAGGACACATTTAACTGGAGCTGGCTTACAGGTTCAGAGGTTCAGTCCATTATCATCATGGAGGTATGCAGGCAGACATGGTGCTGGAGGAGCTCAGAGTTCTACATCTTGGTCTGCAGGCAGCAGAAAGAGACTAAGTCCCACATTTGGCATGGCCCGAACATATGAGACCTCAAAGCCTGCTCCCACAGTGACACACTTCCTCCAACAAGGCCACTCTTGCTAATAGTGTCACTCCTAATAGTGCCAGACTCTATGGGCCTATGGGAGCCATTTTCTTTCAAACCACTACAAATGCCAAAGCTGTCCCAGAATAATCTGAAGTGTTTTACTAATCCTGAACATAAAGGCATTTACTATTTCTGTTACCAATATAAACACTTTTTAAACTTCCTGGTGCACTGTAATGAGATTAAAAGTAGCCTTGTGGTTTTTGTCACCTAGATAGCTCATCATAGACTTGAACTCACAGACTAACTTCCAGGTCATTATGTTCCTCCCACCTCAGCTGTCTGAACAGTAGGATTACACAGACAACATTTTACTATATTAAGTTTATGTTTGGTGTACCAAAGATTATTTTATATATAAAACTGCAGGTTTTAGAGGAAAGTAAAACTTGGGCTGGAGAGATGGCTCAGCAGTTGAGAGCACTGACTGGTCTTCTAAATGTCCCAAGTTCAATTCCCAGCAACCACATGGTGGCTCAAAGCCATCTGTAATGGGGTCCGATGCCCTCTTCTGGTGTGTCTGAAGACAGCTACAGTGTGTGTGTGTGTGTGTGTGTGTATCTTTAAAAAAAAGAAGAAGAAAGTAAAACTAAATAGTCATATAAGTCATATAATAATGAGGTAAAAATCTAATATGGGGGAAAATTACTTTCTCTGCTATTCTTGTCGTAGGAAGCCTACTGGAGAGCAAGTGCTATCTAATCACAGTGACCCCAGTATTTACCACTGGGCCCGGCAGCCCTGAGTCTATGAAGGCATACCTCAAACAAGCAGGTAGGTCTACCCTTGCTTGCTTTGAAAAATTCTTTTAACATTTCCCAAAACATTTATCACTTTTAAATAAGAATCCTCTATGGAATCCCAGCGCTGGAGATGCAGATGCAGGTGGATCTCTGTGAGTTCCAGACCAGCCTGGTCTAGAGTACATTCCAGAATAGCCAAGGACACACAGAGAAGCCCTGTTTTGAAAACAAAGCAAACAAAACAGCATCCTCATTATGTTAGATAATTCTATCCTAAGGCCCTTTACTGACGAGTATTGATTCCTAACCACGTGCTTCTTAGTTCACAAACGCACTTACTCTCTTCCAGCTCCTTCTAGAGGACCGACTGTTCGGACAAAAAAAGTGGGGAAAAATGAAGCTGTCCTAGAGTGGGACCAACTTCCTGTGGATGTCCAGAACGGATTTATTAGAAACTACTCCATATCTTATAGAACCAGTGTTGGAAAGGAAATGGGTAATAAAATTGTAGTAACTACTAAGAATATGCTACTAACGCTTTCTCTTCAGTTTTTAAATACTTGTTTCTCACATAATGCGTTTGATAGTCTATAGCATCCTTAGCAGACGTCTGCAAATGTCTCATATGTTTATGATGCTATTTTTTAAAAATACTGTATTGTAGGTGTCTTAGGATTTTACTGCTATAAACAGACACCATGACCAAGGCAACTCTTACAAGGACAACATTTAATTGGGGCTGGCTTACAGGTTCAGAGATTCAGTCCATTATCATCAAAGCAGGAGAATGGCAGCATCCAGGCAGGCATGGTGCAGGAGTTGAGAGTTCTACATCTTCACAAAGGCTGCTAGTGGAAGATTAACCTCCAGGCAGCTAGGAAGAGGATCTTAAAGCTCATGCCCACAGTGACACACCTACTCCAGCAAGGCCACAGCTCCTAATAGTGTCACTCCCTGGGCCAAGCATATGCAAATCATCACTAGTAGTAGTGTGGCTGGTAGTGTGGCTCAGAGGTAAAGGCACTTGCCACCAAGCCTGATGACCTCGGTGCAGCCCCTGGGTCTCACAGGGTGGACGGAGGGAGCCGGGAGCAAGTTGTGAATTGATTCCCAAAAGTTGTCCTCTGACCTTCATACATAGACAGACAGACAGATACACACACACGCACACACACACACACGGAGGGAAGTGGAGGTAGAGAATCATCCACACATGGAGTAAATAAGTGTGATTTTTCCAAAGATTTGAACCTTTAAATATACATTTTGTTACATTGTTAAAGAATTTTTGGTTATAAATACTTGCTGGAAAAGTACTAAATATACATTTTGTTACATTGTTAAAGAATTTTTGGTTATACATGCTTGCTGGAAAAGTACCTTTAGTACTTTACAATGCCAAATATAGGACGGATGAATCAAAACATTGGGTAAAAGAACTGTTGTTTCTCCTTCCAGTTGTGCATGTGGATTCTTCTCACACAGAATACACGCTGTCCTCTTTGAGTAGTGATACACTGTACATGGTCCGAATGGCAGCGTACACGGATGAAGGAGGGAAAGATGGGCCGGAATTCACTTTCACAACACCGAAGTTCGGTGAGAAACCGTGAAGCTTTATGTTTGAAGTTCAATCTGACTAGAAATGGGTTTACTGTGCTAAGATGTTGTTTTGAAGGGCACTGGGGACGGAGGCAGCTCAGAGGCAGGAGACTTACCAGCATCAAAGCCATGGTCGATCCTCAGCACGGCTGGGGTGGGTAGACGGCACAACCCACATGCTAATAGATCTGTAATAGTTAATATCTAGAAAAAACGCTGAAAAAAATGGTAAAACTTTAAAAGTATTTTCCTAGTTACAAAAGTAATGTTTATATAGGACACATTTACAGTATATTATAAAGAGGAATGTAAATTTGTTCAAGTTCCGTTCTCAGATATAATCTAGTAGTGTCCCTTTTCCTGCTTACATTTTTAAAATGGATCAGTAATACTAAAACTACTGTATAATTTGACTTTTTGTTGTTGTCGTCGTTGTTACTCATCTGCAGTTTCCATTATAGCTTCCTCGCAGGGCGCGGGAGCCTTACCCACAGACTTAGCGCAGTTGAAGAAATCCTGCCAAAAGTAAATACACTAATCAGTAAATAAGGCAAGTCTAAAGCTATCAGCAGAGGCCGTCTCACCGTTAAAGAAGACTTTGGAAGAGAAAGCTGCAGTTAAGATGTGGAACCTAGGACACAGAAAGCATCTTAGAGAACAGCACAGGGCCCAGGACAGGCACTGGAGATGCAGAGCGTGGCTTAGCAGTTCTGAGAGCAGCTGTATCTGTCAGTCAGCATTAGCACTCAGACGTTTACACTGGAGTGAGTGTGATGGTGTGTGTCTAACAGTGTGAGGAAGGGGGTGAAACAGGAGGATCACCAGTTAAAGCTGGCCTGGGCTGCCTAGGGAGTCTCTGTCTCAAAAATAAAAAACGTAAAAAGCCAGTCAATCATTTATTCCCAAGTGTTGGTCTGATTTCCACTGGCCTTCGTGGGTTGGAGAGTTAGTTACAATGGTATGTGTATGATAGAAATATAAACTAAGTAAACAGTGTGTTTCTTAAGGGTTACTCTCATATTTGTCCTATAAAAGAGTAATGAAAAGGAGTTATCTCCATGATAGCGTACAAGTTTAGCGTATGCCAGAGCCAGTTCAGCCCTCAGCACCAGGGGAGAGGCGGGTGGGAGGAGCTGGAGGAGTTAACCAGAAACAAGCACAGGCAGATCACTTTAGTACATGTCCAACAGCTCTCAGTTAGTCACTCATTTGTTTAAGTCCTGTTTTAAGAGCATGTAGAGATTTGTATGTTATTTAGGAATTTCAGACTTATTTGCATCTTTAAATATTTTATTTATTTGTTTTTGAGGCCGCATCTCTAGTGATAAAATAGCCCAGGCTAAGTCTGGCCTCAGTTCCCACCCCTGCTTTCCCCTCCTGCACACTTGAGAGTGGGCCAGCACCACTGTGCCAGCTCTGCTGCTCCTTAGGTGACTTGTCCTCTTGTGCCATCCTCCTGCCTCCTGAGCACCTCCTTAAGTCCTTGGCCTGCAGCAGACGTGTCATCATTTGATGACTGCTACCAGAGGGAGCTGGGCATGTCTTTTTTCCTCCCTGCCAGTGTGTGCTTTATGTTCATCACGCACCAAGGTTTGCCATGTAAGGACACGTGTCTGCGATCAACAAGGACAGAGAGAGGAAGAAAAGCTACCTCAAAACCTGAAAACCACCAGGGTGGGCCAAAGGAATGTATACTTTGTCAATAATCTACAACCCAGGCACTTGGGAAGAGACAGGACAGCCTGGCTGGGCTCCACGGTGAGTCCAGCCAGCCGGGTACACTGCAGGACACTGTCTGCATAAACAAAAAAATCAAGTGGTGTCCAGTGAACTCAATTACGGTTTTTCCTCTTTTTCTCTGTATTAACAGTTATTTCTTATTATACCCTTTGGTTTTGTAGCTCAAGGAGAAATAGAAGCCATAGTCGTGCCTGTGTGCTTAGCGTTCCTCCTGACAACTCTGCTGGGAGTCTTGTTCTGCTTCAATAAACGAGACCTGTAAGTTGCATGTTACATGCTAGTATGTAACTGTTGGATGTTACAGCTGAGCTCCAGTTGTGCCCGATGCTTGCCCACCTCCCGCACTCATCCCCCTCCTACAAAGCACCCTTGTTCATTTTTAGTCTGTCCTCTCTCAACCTCTGCCCCACACGGACTAGCCTGTTCTCAGGTGTAGCTTTGTCTGATCTAGAATCTCACACGCATAGCATCAGCTGGGTTGCAGACCTCCCACGTTTAGCTATTTTGGAGCTCATTCCTGCCACTGCTTATGTGAAATTCTTTCCCCTTGGTGCTGCTGAATCATGTTCTGTAGTGTGGGTGTATAGGAGAGGTCACAGGTTTCGAATTCTTGCCTGTTGTTTTATAAAACAGCTATGAACATCCACATTTCAAACTCTCTGGGTACATGTTTTTGTGTCTCTCAGATAATCCTGTTGTTAACTTTATCAGAAGCCACTAGAAACAGGCATGTTGCTCTGTGTCAGAGCATTCATATGACATGTGCAAGGCTCTAGGTTCCATGTCCAGCCCCACAAGAAGAGAAAAAATAGTCCCGGGCGTCTCAGCATCTCCGCCATCTTGCAAGTGTCCCACTGTCATTAGCACTTGGGACCTAGGTGCTCCTTCAGTTGGGTTCTTCCCGAGAGTGTGAGCAGGAGAGCAGGACTCTGTTTGGATTTCCATCTCCGACTGCCAGTGCCTCTCTTCACGAGTCACCCAGCCCCAGCCCGTTGTAGTTTATCTGTTAAAGCCGTTTGCCCAGTTATAAATTGGGGTGGGTTTTTTTGTTTGCTGTTTTTTGGTTTGGGGGGGTTTTGTTGTTGTTGTTGTTTTGGTTTTTGCTAATATTGAGTTGTAAATGTTCTTTTTGTTTGGAAACAAACGTTTTTTGGTCAAATACATGTTTTGCAAATTTTGTCCCAGTTTCTGTATTTGGTTTCCTTAACTCTGACTTTGGGGAAGCAGAAGTTTTTAATTGTGAAGTTCCCTTTCCCAGGCGTTTCCTCTGGCTCTTGCATTGTGTACCCTCTTTAAGAAATCTGTGTAACACAGGGGTATGCTTTCTTCTAGAAGTTTAGTAATTTTAGCTCTACCATCTGTAATCCATTCTGAATTAATCTGGGGACATGTTATAAATCAGAGTCAAGTTTCTGCCCCCCACCAATCTAGTTCTGTTGAGGTTGAAAATAGCTTCTTTTCAAATAAATGTTTGTTCCTGATGGTCTACAGTTACTTCTGGGCTCTCATTTCTGCTCCTCTGAACTGTGTATGTTCTTTTTTAATTTTTAATTTTTGGAGATTGGGTTTTATATACCACATTGGTCCTGAACGCCTGTTCTCGCTGCTTCTGCCTCCCGAGTGTTGGGTTTACAACCTGAGGGAGCTTCCACTCTCACCTGGTGCAGCAGTCAGCTCCATGACGTCACGTCTTCTTTGGGAAAACACAAGTTAGCGTATTTTACTTAATGTCCGATAGATAGCACTTTTATCTAATTTTCAGACTGCGTACTTTTAGTTGAAAGTTACATGTCTTTGTACTGTTACATGCAGTTCTACATATGCCTTGCTTCTTTTCCTTTCAGAATTAAAAAACACATCTGGCCTAATGTTCCAGATCCTTCAAAGAGCCATATTGCCCAGTGGTCCCCTCACACCCCCCCAAGGGTAAGATACTGTCTTCTTACTGTTTCTAATATATAGGCTTATGTATTGGGATTCATTGAGAAAAGTTTAACCAAAAGATATATAGGCTGAGTGAAAAGAAAATGGCAGTTGTCAAAATCCTCAGTAATCCCTCTTCATTCTAACACACTGTCTGTCTACGGTAGCGTGTTTGTGCAGACAGTCTTCACATTGCTCCATGCACACAACAGATACTTTGCTGAAAGTGGAAACTGAGGACCCACTACCCAGGGATCTGTGACTGGATATTAAGTCCTGGCTAACGTCTGCCATCCTCATCCTGCAGATGAGCTCTGGAAACCGTCCTAGACTCTTCACACTTAACAGACCCTAAAGCAGAAATTCTCCTATTACTCTAATAACCCTGAACTTAACAAATTATACCTGTAACCTTGTATAGTTTACAAAACCTTGGTTATTCAAGTCCAAGTTTTTAATATTTCCAAGGCTTTTTCTTATCTGTTTAATTCTAGGCTGCCTACTGTAGATAAGGAATATTCAGTACTATTTATAGCCTACTTGCTTACAATGATATTAATTTGGAAACTGGAAATGCAGCCTGATCCAGACTTCTTGGTTTATTTTATTTATCTGCTGGTTACAGAGACTCCTTGAGATTCTCACCCCTGAAAGTCACTAAAAAGTTTCAAAGATGCACAAACCCTTAAAATTTTATATTTATAAAAAAGCTGTAATACAAGTTTCAGAGATGGCTCCGTGGTTAAAAAGCTGAAATATGCCCCCGAGTGATCATTCATTTTCTCTTTCCAGCACAATTTCAACTCCAAAGATCAAATGTACTCAGATGGCAATTTCACTGATGTCAGCGTGGTGGAAATAGAAGCAAACAATAAAAAGCCTTGTCCAGATGACCTGAAGTCCTTGGACCTGTTCAAGAAGGAGAAGATGAGTACAGAAGGGCACAGCAGTGGCATCGGGGGTTCCTCATGCATGTCCTCCTCCAGGCCCAGCATCTCCAGCAATGAGGAGAACGAGTCTGCTCAGAGCACCGCGAGCACCGTGCAGTACTCCACAGTGGTGCACAGCGGCTACAGGCACCAGGTCCCGTCCGTGCAAGTATTCTCAAGGTCCGAGTCCACCCAGCCCCTGCTAGACTCCGAGGAGCGGCCAGAAGACCTGCAGCTGGTTGATAACGTGGACAGCGGGGATGAGATCTTGCCCAGGCAACAGTATTTCAAACAGAACTGCAGTCAGCCTGAAGCCAGTCCAGATATTTCACATTTTGAAAGGTCAAACCAGGTTTCATCGGGCAGCGAGGAGGATTTTGTCAGACTGAAACAGCAGCAGGTTTCAGATCACACTTTGCAGCCCTATGGGTCTGAGCAGCGGAGGCTGTTTCAGGAAGGCTCTGCGGCAGATGCTCTTGGCACAGGGACTGATGGACAGATGGAGAGGTTTGAGTCTGTCGGAATGGAGACAGCGATCGATGAAGAAATTCCCAAGAGTTACTTGCCGCAGACTGTAAGACAAGGCGGCTACATGCCGCAGTGAAGGACGGGCTCCTGTACGGCTTCCGCAGGACCGGCAAAGTAAAGCTAAAACACATGTGACTTCAGATGAGAACTAGTCTTCACTCCCTGAAGATAATCATTGCCTTTAAGGACAGAGTCACAACTGGGCCATCTCTGTTTCCAGAGTGACCGGGATTCTCCTTCAAGCACTACATGAACTGACTTTTTCCTCTGAGTAGCTGGAGGACTCGGCTGTTTCAGGATGTATGCACTGCCGAAAACAAAGTGTGTCTGAGTTTATAAAACTTCTGTTTTGCTACACAGAAAACAGGGGATTTCAATGAGCCATGGCGTCGGTCAGCTGTGCTGGTTTCGGTGAGACTGGTCAGCCAGATGCCAGGAGCAAAGGTCTAAACCCTCCTCAGCCCACAGCATCATTTAAAAGGGCCACGGGGCAGACTCCAGATTGTGTCATCTAGCAAAAGAAAGGGTGGAGTGTGGTCCATTTCTGGTTCCATCAGTTAGAGAATATTGGCCTGCTCCTTGCTGTTGGTATCGATGCTGCCAGTTTTTACTGAAGAAAAGGATGAACTTTAAAGATAAGTAACATAGAAGTACCCATTTTCTTATATTCACCTAAAACCTCACCAAAATCTGCTTATTAGTGACAATGTCTTTCAGAGTCAATTTCATCAACCTTATAGTGGACCGGGCTGGCCTCAAACTCATGGAGGTCTGTCTGCCTCTGCCTCCGGAGTACTGGGATTAAAGGCAATCCACAACTGCTCAACTTAAAAAATTTCTGTTTTTAAAGACTTAAGTTGTTGACATGTTTCTGAACACATATAAACACACTAGGGACAGATGATTCCAGATGTTGGTTGAGGAAGCACTTTATTCAGAATGTCTTCAACTTTAAATTACTTTAATTGACTCCACCTTGTTTTTATTTACAAGAATAGCAAGGTGTTTGCTGAAGGGTGGCATTCCCCAGAGCCTCAGGCAGAGTCCCAGAACATACACACCGATGTCAGCAACCACCACAGTGACAGAAGTCCTCCTACAGGGCTGGCAAAGCCATAAGGGTTTTGTTAGTTTGCTGGGCGGGGATTGAACCCACAGCCTTGTACATGCTAGACACTTACTCTACCACTGAGCTGATCATTTACACATCTCATTATGTTGTCTAGGCTCAAGTGATCCTCCTGTCCCAGCTTCCTGAGTGTCTGGGATTTCGGGTGTGTGCTGCCACACACCCAACCAGGTATTTTTAATATCTGCCATTTATGAGGTAGAGTTTTACACACGATTTAGGACTATCTTAAACCTGTTCCATCCAGTTGCTTTATTAAGGAGTAGTCCAGGCATCCAGTGTTTAACACTAAAGCCATTAATGTATTTGTGCCTAACTTTCCAGTGTGACATGGAGGCAAGGACTAAAGGTAGACACTGGGTGGACAGGAATTGGCTGAGTGCCATTAGTGGCTGATTACCTCCAAGTGTGCCCACAGGAAAAGGATTAAAGTTTCAGAACATGGGCACTTAAATCATTTATAACGGTTTCCACACAGTGGCTGAGGAGGAGTTGCTATGCACTTCGTTGGATGCAGTTTTACCTTTTACTCTCAGAAGGCTGTTTATGTTCTACTTGCTGATGTGTTATCATTTATATTTTTATACTGGGTAATCCTTTCTGAGTTCTGTCACGTGTATGCCCCCCCCCCCCCCCATGAGACAGTACATGCTTCGCTCTGGTATATTCAGTTGCCTTCTTGGCAAAGCCAGCCTGGAATTGCTAAAATGGCGGAAGTGAAGGTAGATTGAAGGACAGGTCCGGGTCAGAGAGACCAGAATTCACACTACAGGGCTGGCACCGTCACCATTCAAGTTGGACGTCAAAGCCTGGTCCCAGTCAGGACTGAGTTTCCTATGTATATGTCTGCCAGGAAATTAACCCTCGCTAAATTTCTCATTTTCTCACAGTAAGCAGTCTAGTTATGTGACTGTATTCATGTTTAGCTGTAACTTTCCTTATATCAAATAGTGGTGCTGTGAACATTGTAGTGTGAAGTCTGTACTGGGCTGGGATAGTAACCCAGTGTGAGTTCAGGAGTGAACATCAAGATCACTGAAGGAAGAACCCCATGGGGGCAAGTCTGCATGTTCAATCCCATACAGGAAGTGTTCCAGTGAGCCAGGACCTCTGCCAGCAGAGAGCGTGTGTGCTCACAGCATGAACACTCATTCAGGAGATGTATAATGGAGCACCTTTCTTTGCTCTGAGAGAGAAAAGCAGTTGTTTTGTTTTTGTTTTTTGTTTTTTGTTCTTCGAGACAGGGTTTCTCTGTGTAGCCCTGGCTGTCCTGGAACTCACTCTGTAGACCAGGCTGGCCTCGAACTCAGAAATCCGCCTGCCTCTGCCTCCCAAGTGCTGGGATTAAAGGCATGCACCACCACTGCCCGGCCTGAAAAACAATTTTAAAATCCATCTTGAATACAGACTTTGCTACAGCATGTTTGAGAATAATCTGGATGCATGTAACTTGTATTTTAGGTAGGCAGAGGAACTAATCCAGCTTCTTTATGTAAAACCAGTCTAATAAAGCTAGTTCTGTACTTGTGCTTTTAGTCTTTCATGTGTAAAAATGTAGTTTAAGGCACATCAGAAAACAGCCTGGCTTGTGGCCAAAACCAGTTCACTGCTTCTAATGCAGTTGCCTCTTTAGGATTCAAAGAAAAAGGAAGGCTTCATGCTGAGTCGCTGTTACAAAGCAAGAGTTTGGATCTTTTACTCACTCAGACATAAAATCTTAGTCCTTTGAAAAGCATGAGTACTCGGGGACACAGAGAAGCAGAAGTAGGAAAAGTGCAACTCCCACCCCCAACCCCCTGCCCCCCCCCCCCCCCTCCCCCCCGGTTCTCCTGTCTTCAGCTCTTTCTGTTTCTGCACAGTTCCTGAGCTGTGTTCATCAGCTCATCCAAGATGTAAGGGTTTTGCTTTTTGTTTTTTTGGTGTTTTGATTTTTCAAGACAGTGTTTCCTCTGTGTGGCCTTTTCTGTCCTGGATCTGCCTGCCTAGTGTGCCATCACTTGTCTGCTGAGACCATAGTTCTTATTGGGAACTTAAAGGGATAAAAAGGTAGAAGGGCTTGTGGGACTGTAGCTTTTGATTTTTTTTTTCTCAACCCTAATTTTAATAATAGTTCTTAAATGCTTTAACCTCCCTTCTAGCCCATCACCCACCAGAGGTAGTAGAAAGGAAAGGTTATTAGGATACAGGGACATGGACCTGTTTAGAAATTGTTCTTTGGAGCAAATCCTGTCTGCATTGTCAGGAAATCAGCAGTTCAGTTCTCAGGTCAGTAATGGCAGCTCTATCCACCCGCAAACACTTCAAGGATACACCAGCAGTCTGGTTCGGTAGTGTTGGGGCAACAGTAGCATGGCCTAGCAGGAATGGCCAGGCCTCAGCCTCAGCACAAGTCAGCAGGAAGAACCAGGAGAAGTTCTCAGCTGAGCCTCTCTCAGCAAAAACGAAGATATGCAAGCAGGCCAAGCTGTCCATTGAATCCTAGAGATACTCCCTCCAAATATCACGAGTCCACAGGTCAGGTCTGGTCTCACCACGTGTCTTGCCTCAGTATGTGAGTCTGTATCAGCTGACATCACTCTGCCAATCAGCCCAAGTGCAAGAAGCAGCCAAAACACCACCACAAGTTTTTTGGTGTGTTTCTCTCTATGGAGTCCCAACAAATGGAGCTCAACGACACATGTGAGGCAAACCAATACAGGTGTGTCAGTAACAAAGAAACTATCACGTGTCCTTTCACATACTTGCTTTAGCAAAACAGCCTTTCACCCGAGTCCACTTCAGCAAAACGTTCCTTCAAGTGTCTGGTTTAACAAAACACTGTCCGACACAAACTGACTTTCCAAAGAACCCTTAAGCTTCCACTTCTTGGGACACTATCAAAGCTGTTAAAAGCAGGACTGCTAACGTACCATTAGACATCACATACTATTTTTAAAGCTGTCTTTTTTTTCTACCCACATAATTAGTTAACTATGGCATAAATTTAGACCTAATAATCAGGCTTCCTCAGTGTTATAGACCTATATTAACCAAGTAGAAAAGCCAGGAGACTATAGCCTATTAAGTTGGTTCTACTGTTTCATGTTACTGAGTTTCTTGTAAAAGCAAGTTCTGAACACAACTTCTGTCTAGTAAAGTTTTTAATGAAATGAGTAGAATCAATAAGCTGCAAAAACAAGTGCAAAGGTCAGTTATTAAAAATAACCTTGGGCTAGCTTTCAGCTCTAGATACTACTGCTAGGTTACTATCCTAGGTAAGATTACATTTTTAAAACGTGCCTTTCTCTGAGTTAGAAAACACACAGCCATCAAACGACAAACTGTATAAATAATTTATAGACAAAACTTTCTCAAGCCAGATGTACTATCTCTCAGGTTCACGGTTTGCTTTCCTGTCACATGCAGATTAGCACATACTCACTCCGTTAAAGATAAAAAGGTGACAGCTAGCTCCAGGTGTTACTCATTCTATACTTTTCTAGGGCTTTTTTGCCGCCTGTAAACTCCCACAAACTGGTCAGTTGGTGTTTTGTTTTGTTTTGTTTTGTTTTGTTTTGTTTTGTTTTAATTAACCAGTTGCCAACACTGGTGAGGGGTTGGGATGAAAATGCACCAGGCTGGTTGGGTAGAGATTCTTAGTCCTGTGTTCACCAGCTTAGCCTGGTAACTACAGTCTGCAAATGCTGTTATATAAATAGAACAATGTGATGTGTCAGAAGTAAAGGGATGTTACAGAGGGGTTTGGAAACTCTGTAGCCTTAATGTTTCTGTGTGATATACTCTAAAACAAGTGCACTTTGCTAGCCTGGTGTGGCAGTAGGCATTAGCTATGGCTCCTTCTTAGGTCTTTGCTCTTAGCTGTGCTCCACGTGAGCACAGCTCTCTCTACGTAGCCTACTGTTTTTGCGCCCCCACCGCCGCCACCCTTGCAGCTTCACATGGGAAGCTTGTGTGTGCGTTACCTCTGTAGTAAGTTGCATGTGCTGGGTATATTAACCACAGCTATCGATCATTTTTATGTTGACCCTGCCGTAAATGTCTTACTGTTATCAACTCTAATCTTTTCAATAAATTTGAGAAAGAAACTGTTGTCTTTTCTGTCTGCAGTCACCGCCATCTGAGTGTCACTGTGTGTGGTGTTTTGTCATTTATCAGTCCTGGTGTTGGTTAACAAGGATCTTAGTCTAGATGATATTTTGTGAGGGTTTTATGACTTGTTAAATGCTCTTTTAGCATAATGCAATAGGAGTTAGAATAAATTGTGACACAGTGTTGGCCTCAATAACAGAAGACATGACAGTAGTTTATAGTTTGCAGATTTACCTCATAAATTCTGGAATTCCAGCTTCTTCTCTCCTAGTGGATTGTCCTCTATGTATTTGCTCAGGGACCAAATATAGAGGCGCTGCACCACCTTGTGGCTGGTCTGTGCCTGTGCTGCTGTAGAATCCATGTTTGCCTCGCCATGAAGCTAAGTCTGCTGGGGTAAGTAAAGGTCTCAGCTACTAAGGGCTTATCTAAACATGGTGGGTCATACCTACAAACTGGTCAAGGAGTGAATCTCACCCCTTCAAATCCATAGTGAGGTTTATACAAAACCTTCACTTTGGAATATTTGGTTAAGTCTCATGTCCACTACAGGCTGTAGAAGCCCAGCTTGCCTTCTAGTGTACAGTCCCCAGCTGATTGCACTGTGTCCCCAGCTGATCGCACTGTGTACATGGATAAAAGTCCTTCCTGCTTTCAGAAGGATTATCATCCTGTTTCCCTAGAGGGAAATGGTTATCCTACTGAGAATTGTACAGCTTCCTACTGCTTGTTTTTTTCTTAAAGGAATATATAAAAATTCTTCCACAAACTACATATGTGCTGTCATACACACACACACACACACGCTATATATATGTTCAGTGTGGGTGTTTGGGTGAGGCTACCACCACAGGAGAATGGGAGGTGTTCTCGGTTCTCCAACATTTTGACTCTGAGAAGGATATTCCAGCATTTGAGGGATGAGTAGACCAAAGGAAATGAGGGACCATTTGGGAATGTTTCTTTGGTCTGGAAAAAGTCTGAAGGGGCTGAGAGCAACAGAAAAATGGACAGCCATGAGGCATGACTGGCCAGTCAGACCAAGACTCCCAAGAAACAAAAGGCAGCCAGCTTGGGGTGAGGGGGCAAACGAGTTGTGAGGCTGTGGATACCTCTAAACAGCTTTCACCACTGGCCCTGTCTCCCGGTCCAGGAAACCCAGCCTCCTCCTCCCTAGGGCAGCACCCAGGAAGGTCTTGGTGTCAGGACCCATGCCGAAGCCAACAAGGCCATCTATAAGAGCTCAAGAGGGTAGAGCTAGCTGTAGGGACCACAGCATGCACCTTAGCCAGAGTGTCTTCACTCACCACTGATGGCAAGGAACTGAGAAATAATAGTCTGCTTCCTCTTTCAGGGAAATTATAATCATGTAGACACACATCTCTCAATTACAGCCATATGGTACACTACACACACACACACACGCACACACGCACACACACACACACACACACCTCCCAAAACTGTAGGCCCCCTCCAAGGTCCTTAGTCCCTTTATCCTGAACAGCCCTATCTCCACTTACAGATGCTGTCAGGGAAAGTGGCATCGCCAGGGTCTGGGATCAAGTAAAATGTGTTCTCAGTGACAACTGGTCCACACCTTCCTGCGTTCAACCCTTTTTAGTCGAAGTCCCACCCCGAAGCTAAAAACAGTGCAAAGCCATACTTAGAGTTGGGGCGTTTGGAAGGTCAGCCAACTTGGTACAACCTTTCAGACACTCACCCGACTTGAGATGGCAAAAACAGAAAACTGCTATTGTTGTTCACAGAGCACTTGCTGTATGTTGAACCCAGCCCAGCACCATCAACACCGGCTTTCATCTCTCAGTCACAGGGGCTCGATTTCCCCACTTTACAGATTCAAAGAAACAAAGTTTGGGGAACAATTACGCCATAGGTGAGGAGGCAGCAAGTCTGAGGCTCATAGATGGGTTAAATCTCAACGCTCCTGCATCAAGCAACTATGGTCTGCCTTAAAACCTGTAGAATGGGCCATTCCGGAACCCAGGGCAAGCATTAGTAAACTAATCTGAAAAAGCTCTGCGTGAACGAACGCGCTCAGTTGAATCTGGCGGCCCGCCCAGGTGTTCTTGTTCCCTACAGCAGAGTTGAAGAGCTGACTGGAGCTTACATACCCTGTGGGCGTGGTCTCAGCAATCGCTGGGCAATCTGCCCCTTGCCTAGGGTGGACATGCTCCAAGGAGCAGTTTC